AACTACATGTTGATCGCTGCCGGCTCCGCTGATTGGTCGCCGGTCTGGCTGCACCTGCACTCGCCCCCCCATACTACTTGATGTCTGGGGTCGCCCCAACCTCAGACCTCAGAATGTTCAGTGCTCTCGTTGTCACCACTCCTCCCGGCTAGACGCTAGCGTGTACTGAGAGAAGTGGTGGCTTAAAGCCAATATTCCAACACCAGCATTTACTTTTGTATTGCACTTCTTGTTATTTTGCCTTAACGTAACTTTTCATTGTGTCATTTAATTATTCTTATTATTTTGATTGATTTTATTATAAGAATTTGTTTGTGCATTTTATTCATGTTTTGATTTATTTAACGTAATTAAAATTTCATTGTTAAAATTTACTTGTGTTTTGTGTGTCTTCTCCTTACCTTACCACAGACGAAGTTCCAGTTTTTTCTATTTTTTTTTTATAACTATGTGACGAGGCCATACCCCTAGCCTTAAACAGCCGAACACCAACGCGTTACCGTCACAAATATATATATATATATATATATATGTCGTACCTAGTAGCCAGAACTCACTTCTATGCCTACTATGCAAGGCCCGATTTGCCTAATAAGCCAAGTTTTCATGAATTAATTGTTTTTCGACTACCTAACCTACCTAACCTAACCTAACCTAACTTTTTCGGCTACCTAACCTAACCTAACCTAACCTATAGAGATAGGGTAGGTTAGGTTCGGTCATATATCTATGTTAATTTTAACTCCAATAAAAAAAAATTGACCTCATACATAATGAAATGGGTAGCTTTATCATTTTATAAGAAAAAAATTAGAGAAAATATATTAATTCAGTAAAATTTGGCTTATTAGGCAAATCGGGCCGGGCATCGTAAGCTGAGAAGTGCGTTCTGGCTACTAGGTACGATATATATATATATATATATATATATATATATATATATATATATATATATGTCGTACCTAGTAGCCAGAACTCACTTTTTGGCCTACTATTCAAGGCCCGATTTGCCTAATAAGCCAAGTTTTCCTGAATTAATATATTTTTTCAAATTTTTTTCTTATGAAATGATAAAGCTACCCATTTCATTATGTATGAGGTCAATTTTTTTTTATTGGAGTTAAAATTAACGTAGATATATGACCGAACCTAACCAACCCTACCTAACCTAACCTAACCTATCTTTATAGGTTAGGTTTGGTTAGGTTGCCAAAAAAGTTAGGTTAGGTTAGGTTAGGTAGGTTAGGAAGTCGAAAAACAATTAATTCATGAAAACTTGGCTTATTAGGCAAATCGGGCCTTGAACAGTAGGCCAAAAAGTGAGTTCTGGCTACTAGGTACGACATATATATATATATGCAAACAAGCCTGAATGGTCCCCAGGACTATATACAACTGAAAACTCACACCCCAGAAGTGACTCGAACCCATACTGCCAGGAGCAACGCAACTGGTATGTGCAGGGACGCCTTAATCCGCTTGACCGCTTGACCATCACGACCGGACATATATATATATATATATATATATATATATATATATATATATATATATATATATATATATATATATATATATATATATATATATATATATATATATGTCCGGTCGTGATGGTCAAGCGGTCAAGAGGATTAAGGCGTCCCTGTACATACCAGTTGCGTTGCTCCTGGCAGTATGGGTTCGAGTCACTTCTGGGGTGTGAGTTTTCAGTTGTATATAGTCCTGGGGACCATTCAGGCTTGTTTGCATTTGTGTTCCTCACGTGTGCCCCAAAGAATGAGGTGATTTGATAAAATGCTATGCCCAAGATTACCATCCGAGTGCCGGCGGGGAAGTGGTTCAAATAGCTTCGGCTATCACTTCCTTATGTCCGGTCGTGATGGTCAAGCGGATTAAGGCGTCCCTGTACATACCAGTTGCGTTGCTCCTGGCAGTATGGGTTCGAGTCACTTCTGGGGTGTGAGTTTTCAGTTGTATATAGTCCTGGGGACCATTCAGGCTTGTTTGCATATATATATATATGTCGTACCTAGTAGCCAGAACACACTTCTCGGCCTACTATGCAAGGCCCGATTTGCCTAATAAGCCAAGTTTTCCTGAATTAATATATTTCTCTAATTTTTTTCTTATGAAATGATAAAGCTACCCATTTCATTACGTATGAGGTCAATTTTTTTTTTATTGGAGTTAAAAATAACGTAGATATATGACCGAACCTAACCAACCCTACCTAACCTAACCTAACCTATCTTTATAGGTTAGGTTAGGTTAGGTAGCCGAAAAAGTTAGGTTAGGTTAGGTTAGGTAGGTTAGGTAGTCGAAAAAACAGTAATTCATGAAAACTTGGCTTATTAAGCAAATCGTGCCTTGCATAGTAAGCTGAGAAGTGCGTTCTGGCTACTAGGTACGACATATATATATATATATATATATATATATATATATATATATATATATATATATATATATATAATATATATATATATATATATATATATATATATATATATATATATATGTACGACATTTATATATGTCGTACCTAGTAGCCAGAACGCACTTCTCAGCCTACTATGCAAGGCCCGATTTGCCTAATAAGCCAGGTTTTCCTGAATTAATATATTTTCTCTATTTTTTTTTTCTTATAAAATGATAAAGCTACCCATTTCATTATGTATGAGGTCAATTTTTTTTATTGGAGTTAAAATTAACGTAGATATATGACCAAACCTAACCAACCCTACCTAACCTAACCTAACCTATCTTTATAGGTTAGGTTAGGTTAGGTAGCCGAGAATGTTAGGTTAGGTTAGGTAGGTTAGGTAGTCGAAAAAGCATTAGTTCATGAAAACTTGGCTTATTAGGCAAATCGGGCCTTGCATAGTAGGCTGAGAAGTGCGTTCTGGCTACTAGGTACGACATATATATATATATATATATATATATATATATATATATATATATATATATATATATATATATATATATATATATATATATATATATATATATATATATATATATATATATATATATATATATATATATATATATATATATATTATAATATATATATATATATATATATATATATATATATATATATATATATATGCGAACAAGCCTGAATGGTCCCCAGGACTATATGCGAATGAAAACTCACACCCCAGAAGTGACTCGAACCCATACTCCCAGAAGCAACGCAACTGGTAACTACAGGGCGCCTTAATCCGCTTGACCATCACGGCCGTCAAAAGGAAGTGATAGCCGAGGCTATTTGAGCCACTTCCCCGACGGCAACTCGGATGGTAATCTTGGGCATAGCATTTCACCAAATCACCTCATTCTTTGGGGCACACGTGAGGAACACAAATGTGAACAAGCCTTCAGGCTTGTTCGCATTTGTGTTCCTCACGTGTGCCCCAAAGAATGAGGTGATTTGGTGAAATGCTATGCCCAAGATTACCATCCGAGTTGCCGTCGGGGAAGTGGCTCAAATAGCCTCGGCTATCACTTCCTTTTGACGGCCGTGATGGTCAAGCGGATTAAGGCGCCCTGTAGTTACCAGTTGCGTTGCTTCTGGGAGTATGGGTTCGAGTCACTTCTGGGGTGTGAGTTTTCATTCATATATATATATATATATATATATATATATATATATATATATATATATATATATATATATATATATATATATATATATATATATATCTATTTATGATCGATGTTCCCTTCGGGAATCTTAATTTTAGGATGAATAGGAAAACCAGGGATATACTGAACATCTTGTTTCAGATTCTTAACTTTAAAATGCATAACGTTTCGAATACTTCTCGTATTCATCATCAGATCTAAAAGAAAAAACAGAAATCACAATCAAATAACTGGTAAACAAAGAACTCATACTGAATATAATTGCCTATCAAAGAAAGGAAAATGCTTAAAAAACAAAACACTTAAGCGCACTTAAAGTGATCAATACAAATAAAACTTATTAACTTAACAAACTTATTAACAAACTTATTAACAAACAAAACTTTTTAACAAACAGAATAAACGACAATTAATTGTCGTTTATTCTGTTTGTATTTTACATACATTTTTTGTATATTTGTAGTCATTATATAAATATTTGTTATAGGGTTTAGTATCTATGTGTTAGGTATCAAGTTTCACTTCTGATCACTTCACGTAAGTTAAATAAAATGGTTTGTTTTAGTAGTTATAAAATTCATCTTGTAGTTTAATGGATTTTTAAATTAGCTTTAGTATATGTGACAGTTAATAAGTTTTATTTGTATTGATCACTTTAAGTGCGCTTAAGTGTTTTGTTTTTTAAGCATTTTCCTTTCTTTGATAGGCAATTATATTCAGTATGAGTTCTTTGTTTACCAGTTATTTGATTGTGATTTCTGTTTTTTCTTTTAGATCTGGTGATGAATACGAGAAGTATTCGAAACGTTATGCATTTTAAAGTTAAGAATCTGAAACAAGATGTTCAGTATATCCCTGGTTTTCCTATTCATCTTAAATATATATATATATATATATATATATATATATATATATATATATATATATATATATATATATATATATATATATATATATATATATATATATATATATATATATATATATATATATATATGTATATATATATATATATATATATATATATATATATATATATATATATATATATATATATCTATATCAGGGTGACAGCACTGAGAGTGAACACCGGTTACAGTGGACTGTGGTTGCAATAGGCTAGTGTGACAGTCCTGAGAGTGAACACTGGTTACAGTGGACTGTGGTTGCAGTAGGCTAGTGTGACAGTCCTGAGAGTGAACACTGGTTACAGTGGACTGTGGTTGCAGTAGGCTAGTGTGACAGTCCTGAGAGTGAACACTGGTTACAGTGGACTGTGGTTGCAGTAGGCTAGTGTGACAGTCCTGAGAGTGAACACTGGTTACATTGGACTGTGGTTGCAGGAGTCTCGAGTGAGCTGGGAGCGACAGTGTTAGAGATGCCGTACAAGGGGAAGGCGGCGTCCATGTTGGTGTTGCTGCCTGACAACACCCCCGGCGGCGCCCCTGGCAGGACCTCCACGCCCCTGGCCGCCCCTGGCAACTCCGCCACGCCCCTGGACGCCATGCTGCGGCGCCTCTCCCACGACACCCTCCGCCACGCCCTCACCAACCTGAGAGAGGAGAAAGTACATCTTCACTTCCCAAGGTTCAAACTGGAGCAGACAATCACTGAGGAACTTAAGGCGGTGAGTAGTCCGGATGTTTTACTTGCATCTCTATATAAATGTTGTCAGTGTAAAGGTAAACATTTAAGGAATGTGAGTGTGAGTGTGACACAGACAAGGAGATGACACATTGTTTTTAGCAACGCAGACTCCTGAGGCGATAGTACTTTAAGTAACGTTTTGGTCGAGAGAACTAATGAGCACCATTACACCAGGCTGTCTACTATTAATTTAAGGAGTGAATAATAAATATAAATAAAGCCAAACCTTAATTTTTCTAGGCCTAATATAGCACTTTGATTTTTTCAAAGTCCTTTTAAAGACCGTAATTTGTCAGAGACTAGTTTATGACCGATTTTTTTCAGAATATTAATCCTATGTACTGTATTAGGCCTAGGATTGCTGGTGGAGGTTAGTATTGGTAAGGTCTTATACTAAGACATGAGCTGTTTTACCAGTAAGGGTTGAGGGGCCACAGGGCTATCAACACTACAGACCAGGCATCGCGGGGCGGATCTCGTCGACACTTAAAATACTTAACAAATTGAAAAGCTGTTTATCCAGACAATTCCTTCAAAAGGTCAGATGTAAGACAAACAAGGAGCAACGGGTTCAAGCTCAATAAGTCACATTGTGGAACACATAACTGGAGATGCTTTTTGACCCTCAGGTAATAAATCCACGGAACCGCTTACCCGCCGAAGTCGTAAATCCCAAAACTCTTTTGAACTTTAAAATCCAGCTTGAAAAATCACCAGGACCATTGTGGGTTCCTTTGACAAGTCACCGGCTTCCTGTCCTCGTCGAGGCCACTAGAGTGTTAGTGTTCCTCAAGTAAATTCAGGTAAAGTTATGTTGCGGCTAAAAAAGTTTCCGATTTGTCCAACTTCAATAATACAAAATTAACTTTCTGGTGGTCTATCACTACACATTGATACTTCCTGGTGGTCCAGCACTACTTATTGGTACTTCCTGGAGGTCTATAGTAGTAGGATTGACATCTTAGCAATAATTTTTTTTTTTAAATCATATCTGCGGACCATGGTATTGAGCGAACTCCCCAAAAAATCCTCGCTGTGAACCACCAGATTGAATGAACTCCCAAAAGTCACTGCTGCTGACCACTATATTTAGCGAACTCTGAAAAAGTCATCGCTCTGTCACATTGTTTCAGGCTGATTTTATTTTCAGAGTTCAGTTTGAGACCAATTTTTTTCCAAGTCCATTTAAAGACCGTAATTTGTCAGAGACTAGTTTATGACCGCTTTTTTCAGAGTTTTAATCCTCGCTGCAGTCATAAAAGAGTTTTTATGGATATAATTAAACTCTATGGACTTGAGCAGATATTTCTTAAAAGTTAATCAGAAGATAGTTGAACAGACCACACACTAGAAGGTGAAGGGACGACGACGTTTCGGTCCGTCCTGGACCATTCTCAAGTCGATTGTGATGAGGAAGATTGATTGATTGATGAAGATTAAGCCACCCAAAAGGTGGCACTGGTACGAATAGCCCGGAAATGGTGGCCCATTTGAGCCATTACCAGTATCAATAGATGATACTGGAGATCTGTGGAGGTGCTGCTGCACCCTGCGTGACGGGAAATGTCTCCCGTGAATGTGTCCAATTGATGATGAAGATTAAGCCACCCAAAAGGTGGCACGGGCATGAATAGCTCGTAAGTGGTGGCCCTTTTGAGCCATTACCAGTATCAAGAGCTGATACTGGAGATCAGTGGAGGTGCAACTGCACCCTGCGTGACGGGAGATGTCTCCCGTCGTCGTGATGAGGAAGTAGATGCAGGCAATAAATAGGCTAGAAAGAGGTGAGAAGAAAAGTGAGTAGAGGGGATAGTAATAGGAAAGAACTGCAGAGGGCCCATTGGCCCATACGAAGCAGCTCCTATTATAACCACCGAATGAGAAGGAGATAGTAATAAGAATAAGAAGAGGATAGTAAGGGAACGTAAAGAAAACAATGAAGAGAAAAGAGAGAAGAGAGAAAGAAAAGGAAAGAGAAAGAAAGATTAATGGAAGGGTAAGCTTATGTTAGGTCACGTTTGTTAGAAACTATGCTCTAATCTTTCTAACAAACGGGACATAACAAAATAGATCAGAGCAATTATCGAGCTCCAGCTCTTGTCCTCCGCCTTATTTCACTACTACAACTCCGTTATTAACTGATCTATTTTCCTGAAATTAAACCTGATGAATTTTGGACATAGTAGAATAGATTAAATTAATTACCAAGCTTCAGCTCTTGTCCTCCGCTTTACTCTACTCATACAACTCCGTTATTATGAACTCAAGTTCCCTGAAATTTAAAATAGCTGTATTTCAGACATAGTAAAATACAATAATTTAGTTATCAAGCTCCACCTCTCATCCCCCACCTTAGTTTACTCACACAACTCCTCTATTATCCAATCAATTTCCTGGAGATTTAAAATCTAGTTATTTCAGATGTAGTAAATAAGTTAAACACAGTTACCAAACTCCAGTTCCTGTTCCCCACCTTAGCCCTCTCTCATATCTTCGAAAATAATACCTGATCAATTTCCTTGAGATATAACATAGATATTTTAGACTTAGAAAATAAATCAAAGCAGTTACTGAGCTCCAGCTCTTGTCCCCATCTTACTTCACCCGTACAACTTCATTAATATCAGATTAATTCCCCTAAAATTTAATCCTGCTGTATTTCAGATTTAGTAAAATAAAGCAAGACATTAACTGAGTTTCAACTCATGTCTCCGCCTTAGTTCATTCGTACAACTTTGTTACAATCTGTCCAAATCCCCTAACATTTAAAACATACTTCAGACGGAGAAAGTAAAAAAAAATAGAGTTATCGAGTTCTATCCTCCAGAGAGCTTTAATTCGGTTCTCTGCCTTAGTTGACTCCCGTAGATTCACTACTATTAACCCAAGTTCCCTGAAATTTGACCTGCTTTACCCTACAGAGTTCTTCGTCGACTTCGTCAACTCTGTAGGGTAAGGCAGGTCCTAGTCAACAACGGCTTCTCCAATGGTTTCGTGGAAGACATCATAAGAAGGAAAGTGAAACGCCATGCAACCTCTGAAGAGACAACTAACACAACACCTATACCCCCCCTATTAGACTATTTTACAGGAACTTCTTTTCCACAGCTCATAAAACGGAGGAAAGGGTCCTGAAAGATATTGTTAATAGAAACGTTATCCCTACAGACAAAATTCAGAGGATACAACTGACGATTTACTATAAAACCAGAAAAACGGCCAGCCTACTCATGAGAAACTCTCCAGACACAAAGCAGAACGCTTTAAAAGAGACCAACGTCGTCTATGCCTTCAAATGCCCTCTTGGGGACTGTAAGCTCCAAAAAACCCAGTATATAGGCAAGACAACAACATCTCTTTCTAGGCGTTTAACGATGCATAAGCAACAGGGCTCCATTAAGGAACATATAATCTCTTCCCACAACCAAACTATCGCCAGAGAAATCCTAGTAAACAACACAGAAATCATCGATAGATACAGCGATAGCAGGCGGCTTGACGTCTGCGAGGCTCTACACATCAAGAAGTCAACACCAGCAATCAACAGCCAATTAATGCACAACTATATTCTACCCACCTCAAGACTCCGCTCCAATATAGAAGCATCAAGAAATATGGACCAATAGGCTTTCTACAAATTACTTCCATTCAATACCCATTGTTTCGTGTTCTGTCTTGTGTTTAGGATTTTTAATACCCTATTAATACCACCTCACCCCATCCACCTCACTCAAATGTAGATATAAACAAATCGAAGATGTGTAAGTTCTATTCAGTTGTGTATGTGTAAGCTAAAGTCTTTGAAAATGTAATAAGTTTTACGAAACGCGCTCTAGTGTCGCGTCAGACTAGAAATAAAAATGAATTTTGGAGAATTGATTTTTGAATTACCACCAACAGTGAAAAGAAACGTACGAAAGATCGAGAAAATTCGTGTTAGAATTATTAATCTTACTTTTTCGGTCATATTTAATAATATATGTCTACAGGAAAGACTGCTACCAAAATATACTAATATATATATATATATATATATATATATATATATATATATATATATATATATATATATATATATATATATATATATACATATATATATATATATATATATCACTAAGAACTCTTTGACCCGGCCAGGATTCGAACCCATGCCGTCCAGGATCACCCCTAAACGTACACAGTACTGTGACCACCGCACCAATGATCGTCTATAAGGATTGTTCAGTCCTGGTGCTTATTAAATAAGCTCCCTGACTGATCAACACCCGACGACACTCATGGATCCATTTGGGTACAGTTTTTCATCAAATTGTGGCGCGTGTACGTTTAGGGTGATCCTGAACGGCATGGGTTCGAATCCTGGCCGGGTCAAAGAGTTCTTAGTGATATATGGCTTGTGCGTTCATGCAGCTTTCTCACACATTATATATATATATATATATATATATATATATATATATATATATATATATATATATATATATATATATATATATTGTGACGGGAAAGAGTTGAGTGTAGATGTTCGGCAGTCCTCCAATGGCAGGTGTCAATGCCTGGTCACACTTACAAAAAAAAAGATAGACTGCTTGCCGGTTGTCTGTGGTAAGTGAGAGGGAGAAACACGTAAAACACAAAGTATGAACAATGAAACTTTAATATATACTTTAAACATAAATGAGCATAAGATAAACATATAATATATAAACATAATATAAAAACATAAACTCCCTTAGTATACAGACCTTAGAGCTTAGTATGCCAGAGAGAGATGTCAACTCTTAAAGCACAAAGAATATTCTGAAGTTGATGGCTGGTCCAAGTTCAGACATCGACTCAGGTAGATGGCGCTGAGGTGCAGTGTGCAGGTGTGCGGTCGGTGAGTCACCAATCAAGAGCAGGCAGGCTGGGATGGGTAGTTGGCTGGTTGATGACGAGCCGGCGTGGAGGGAGTGTGGAGTTGGGGGTTTAGGGAAC